AGCCTCACAGCCTCTGTTCCCGTTTCTGTTGGGAACACACAGACCCGGGCTGTGGAGGAAAGGCGCCAGGTCCGGGTGAGGCGCCAGGTCCGGTGAGCTCAGTCCCGGCTGCCCAGCTACGGGCAGCAGAGGAAACGAGTCTCCGAGAAATCAGCTGAGCAGGGCTGTGCCGCTGCTCAGGGCCACAGCTGGAGCCCAGGCCCCCTGCCCCAGGAGAGCAGGTTCTGGGACGTGTTGTGTCCACAGGCCATGAGGGGCCCGAGTAATTGGCCAGCAGGCGACGGTGCGGCGGAAGCGAAAAGAACCAGCAGGCCGCAGTTGGCTCCTCTCTCCGTGGACGTGAGAAGCTCACCCAACTGCCAACGGATGGGTTTTTGTTTTCTAGCGTGGCGTATTTGATCTGGCTTTGCACGCTCTGATTTCACACTTTCAGGAAGTCTGACCACTGAGGAATGCCGGGAGAGTGTGTAATACTGTGAATGAGCAAAGCCCTGCAGGCAGCCGCAGGTGGGCGCCACAAGTGGACCCCGCATACGGCCGCGGTCAGCGTCCACGGCGCCCTTTAGGATGTCCTCTTGTTTCCGGTTTCCCTTTGGCAACATTGCTCATGGCCAATTATTTTTGCTACTAGAATGCTGGTGGGACACACCTTCTAGAGCACCCCATCTTTGTCCCGGGGTGACCCCAACCCTGCATTGTTACTTGTGTGCAGAGTCAGGGCTCGCATACAGGACAATCACCTGTAATAGTTGTATCTTGTCCCTCTCCCGCCTTCTGTTCTCACGCCAGGCCTCATAGCTTCAATCCTAGGTTCCAGTTCAGGCTGGTGTTGGGGCAGTGGGACCCAAATTTGATTCCAGGGACTCTGAGATCGCTACATGGCACATCAGGTGGAAATTGTCCCAAAAGGCTTTGCACGTTGCTACTCCTTTGAAAGTTCCAGTCCTGACACAGCTGCTCACGTCTTGCTTCTCCCTTCTCTTTCTGCTGCTCCCCTCCCCCTTCACCTCATCTCCAGGGTCTCAGCCTGACCACAGGATCCTCTTTAGGCCCCCCTCTTTAGCAGGAGGGGGCTGCGGTCAGGAAGTCTCCTGGTAACATTCTCTCTTTCCCTCTTCCTCTCCATTGCCCACTGCCTGCGTCCCCCACTCAACGCCAGAGTCTGCCTTGTCCATGCTGTGAAATCTGGGGGCTCCCCGAAAAACAAACTGAAGCAGATGCTGTTCTGAGGAAATCTAGTGGGCTTCCGACTAGCAGGCCAACATTGTTCCTCCCCAGCTAAGTCATGGCCTATTCCATGGCCTTGGTCTGTGTTTCCCTCTCATAAGTTGCAAATATCTCAGAGACCTATTGGTCAGTTGGGGGTACATGATTGAAGGGTATAGCAAGGTGCTAAAAGTCTGATGTCTAGCGAAGAACATGGGGTGAGGAGATTCCTCCAGATGGCAGAGCAGTGATGGAGGGTTTTGGGGGCGGGTGGCTGTTTGAGGGTCAAGCAGGCAGGAGTTTGTTAGGGAAAACCCACATATCACGCCCCCCCAAGGCCTGGGCCAGGGCACCAAGGCAAAGTTGGAGACAGGTCGGGAGAAGGCAGCTTTCTAAACACCGACCTGCAAGGAGGGAGAATGACAAATGGTACCTACGTGGGTAGGAGACACGACATTGGGGGGCAAAGCAAGAACCCCCTCTTCTACGTCTCCTCCTCTGCTCCTCAAAGTCCTTAGACAACTGCACCCTCTAAATATTCCAGACATTCACTCTGGAAATGTGGCCTAAGGAGACTTCTCGGATGCACATAGAGATCTCGTTTGGAGAACACTTTTCTCAGGGCTGTTTAGAGTGGGGAAGGTGGAAAACAACCTAAATGTCTGAGCTTGGTGAAATGATTCATAACATGGCCACGAATAGAAAACTACACAGCCTTTCCCTCTGCTGCTGGGAAAGAACATTCAAGGACGTGCGAGATGCTTGTGAGAAGTTGTTAAGTGAAAAGAGCAGGTACCAAACAGCAAGACCCTCATTTTATATTACAAAACCAGGCCTGTGGAAGGGTGGGTATACGCACGGAGTCGTGTGTGTTAGAGAAAGATATGTGTGCACATGCACTTAACACTAAACTACTGAACTTCAGTTGTTCCATCTTCAAAAATACGTTCTATGATATATACCACACCCAGAAAACCATAGACATTAACCTATATGCTCACACTACATACACTAGCATACAAATGTATAAAATCATATAAATGACCTCATTTGTACACAGAAAGAATGTCCATTATAATGCTAAGGGCACCCACATGGTTATATATAATCATATATGTGTATATATATATTTAATCACATAGACACACAGATGCACACACTTTTATAGACTAAATATGTCCCTCCTAAATGCACATGTTGAAGCCTTAGTGTGACTGCTGTGGAGATAGCGCCTCAAAGGGAAGAATTCATGTGAAATGAGGCCACAGGGGGAGCCCTGCTCTGATAGGTTGGTGTCCTCATAGAAGGCACCAGTCCCCTGCAAGAACACAGAGAGGCTGTGTGAGGACACAGAGAAGCAGGGAAAAGAGCCGTCCTCAGACACTGCCCCTGTTGCACTTCCAGCCTCCGGAGCTGTGAGGAAGTGTGGCTGATGTCTCAGCCACAGAGTTTGCTATTTATTATGACAGCCAAGTGAACTAATACACATCATGCATATAGACCATGCACACACGCATAGGCTGTGTCTTCATATAATCACCTATATAGTCATACATAATTTCACATATATGCATGCACAGATTTCACTATTAATTTAAGCTCAGAAGAGTGGCCATCACAATGTGAGTTCCCTGGACGTGGGGGTCACACATGACTTGACTGTGTTATTTTTGTCTACCTGCATTGCCGATCACATCCTTACCTTGCTCCATATTATTCTTACCTCACTTCGAAGTCCTGGACGGTCATTATGAGTCATATTACTATAAATCATTACTATAAAGTTGCTTTTGCCTAGGTTAACCTGGACTTGAGTGGGTCGGGTGAGGTCAAGGGGGCCCAGAGGTGCAGAAGCCTTGCCCCGGGTATGGCGAGCCCACTAGAGACTCCTTCTGTTGCAGCCGGGTCCCAGAGCAGACACCTCCTCTGGTCTCCAAAGGATGGTTCATGGGGGTGCATGCAGGCTGAGGCCCGTGGTCCCCAGGTTTGTGATGATCCCTGCACCAAGGACAGGGTCATCCCCAGGGGTTCTTGAACCTGACAGTGGCTTCAGGGTCCTGATGCCTGCCATTTCATGTGTCCCTCCAGGTCAGCTGGACATCATCTCCATGGCAGAGACGACCATGATGCCTGAGGAGATCGAGTTGGAGATGGCCAAAATCCAGCGTCTGCGTGAAGTCCTGGTCCGCCGGGAGTCTGAGCTCAGGTTTATGTAAGTGTCCAGGAAGCGCAGAGGGTCAGCTGACACTGAGGCCCAAACTGAGCCAGGATTGGGCGTGACGCACGTGGGAGGCCTGTGGGTCCCCCAAGTAAGGATGAGCTGCAAGAAGCTCTGAGGCCACTAAAGGCATAGAGACTCGGGGTTCACCCACCCCTTGGCAGTCACTACCATCGTAATGGGCACGGTCACCCCCATAAACGTGTAGACCCAGACAGTGACAGTCCAAGTGTGGGGTCAGGGCTGCCAACCTCCCCCAACCCTGGAGTCAGGCTGAGGACATGCCACCCCCTTAGTTTCGGTGAAAAGATCTGAAAAGGCGGGGAATCGTTAAGAGTTCAGTGACAACAAGAGCGTTTGGGATGAGCACACTTTGTGAATAGCAGGCACCATCTACCTGAGCATTGAGTCGTTCTTCGTGTCTCCGTTAATTCCGTAACAAAGAAGTGACTTATGCTAATAGTGTTGGTGCTTATGAATTCTAGTGGACAGTCGTATGACTATTCTTCTGTTTCTTAATATATAACCACTAAGATGAAGTAATGGCTCCCTTTACTCGCTGAAGGAAAAAAGACTTCTATTGCGCCAGGTCCTTGCTTTCTCATCTTTGTTCTATTTTTGTACTTTCACTTTTACTTTTCACATTCTCAAATAGGATAGTATTGACATTCCGTTTTGAAACTGTAACTAAGCTTCCGTTCTTATCTATAGATTGTTTTCAGCCTTAAACACATATGGTTGGCATTTAGCAAGCCAGGAAAAAGAAGACAAATGGGGATCACAATGGCTGCTGGAATGTTCTGAAGAGCTTCTGCAGCCCAGGGCGCTCAGGAGGGGGCCCACGGGCTTTTGCTGCTATGGAAGCAGCGGCGACACCTTGCATTTGACGTTCTTATCGCTGTGTGTCTGTGTGCATGTGTGTGTGCAAGCCTGCACACACAGATAGACCCAGAATTTTCACATGTCTGGCACAAATGAGTGTCCGGTGCAAGACGAGCTGACCTCTAGAGTTTAGCCTCGCGACTTGAAGCCTCCCTGAATTTCCCCATCATGCTCTTGAGTCCGACCAATTTGTCATCAGTAGAAACTTGAAGAAACCATGTTGCTTAAAGGACACAACCTGCATAGTTGGGGCACAGAGCGAGCCTCAGTGACATTCTGGGGGTTGGGGCCAGCTTCCCAGACCCCTTGGAGTCTTGCTCACAGCCCCAGACAGGGCGGGTGTTATGCCTCCCACTCCAGCCAGCCCAGAATAGCAGGCAGCCTTGCCTTGAGGGGCAGACATCGCATCAAGCTTGGAGGAGATGCGCTGTGGCCCTCAGGATGTGGGAGAAGAGGTCAGGGCCATTCAGACCTGGAGAAATGCCGCCTCTGCCATCCTCGGCCTCCCAGGCTAACGGGCTGTGCACGGCCACTCAGGAGTTCAGCTTCCTGGCTACTTCTCAGAGCCAGCCCTCCTTACAGCTGTGGGGTTTCTCATCTTTTGCTCATCTCCATTTAAGAGAAGAGGGAACTGGAAGTTCAGAAGTGTCCCCAAGCTCAAACAAGCTAGTAGGGAGCCAAGCAGGGGTGCAGTCTGATCCCAGAGCACTGTGCGTAGTGAGCGAATGAGTGAAGGAGGGAGAGAGGTGGGGAGGGAGGGCTGGAGAGAAGTAAGGAGGATGGAGGGAAGAGGGAAGAAGGGAGAGAAGCTCTGAATCTACCCACCAAGATCATTCCTCCGTGTCACCAGCACGGGGCAGGGACTGATTCAGTTTCCTTACAGCCATGTCTTCCCAGCATCTTAAAAAGTAACTGTCATTTACTAAACAAATATTGATATTCGTTGAGTGATTCTTTTACATGCTCTCCTTATCTCAACAATTGCCCTTCACACACACACACACACACGCATGCACACACACACACACACACGCACACATGAGGCCCCTGGCTCGGGGAAGAAGGCAGTGGGATTTCAGAGGTGCTCAGCAGGGACGCAGCTGGGGTGCTCCTGGCCGGCAGAGGCCAGTGCTGGCAGCTGTGATGACCAGGACGAGATTGGCTTCGTCACACCTGCTGGGAAGCCATCAAATCAATACCCACCAGCTCCCATGAGTCTGTGAGTCAGGGCGAATTTCACGGTTGAGGGTGTCTGCCCACTTCACAGTGTCTGCCTGTGGCAGCAGCCCAACACCCCAGCGTTGTCAGTGTTCTTTCCTAAGTTTCCCTTTTCCTGTTTCCCCTTCCCCGGGACTTGCAGCTTCTGTGGTTCTCTTGCCAGGATGGTGAGGAGGATGGTGAGGAGGTAAAAGGGAGCACTTACTCCTGTCCAGGCTTGAACTCAGGAGAAGTGGACTAGAGTGACATCCAAGCTCCCCCACATCCTTTCGGAACACCAAAAGGAGGAAGTTCTGTTCCTTCTATTTTACAGATGCGGTGACTGAGGTTAAAGGAGTGAAGTAACTCTTCAAGGTCACCAGCTAGTGAGGCACAACCAGGATTTGAACTCAGGGTGCCCACCCATACGTCCCTTAACCCTAAGCTAGCCTATTATCTTTATTCCTAGGACAAGGAGACACCCCCCCCTATTTTTTTTTTTTTCGATCCAGCTTTTCTAGAATGCAACAACAAGATTCCTGGTGCTCACATTCTCACGTTGTGATGGCTCTGAGCTGCCATCTTGAATTGAGTGTGGTGTCAATGGAAAGGGTCTTACTTGATCTTCTCTGAACCCTTTTGCTGGAGACCCATGATTTATTTGAGCCTCAAATAATGAGCTCCAACTTAGATAGTCAAGGTTTGCACAGCCGACGGGAATTCACTTGGTTGGATCAGGCATAATCCCCTGAATCTTCCTGACTCTGGATAAGACCCTCAAGGTCAGGGTCACAGAAGGACCATGAGTGACGCCCAGTGGCCATGCATCCTGGCTCCCTGCACCTGGTGCCTCTTGTCTGTTGTCTTCCCTTAGCTGTCCTCTGACTTCCATGTTGCTAACCAGCATTTGGAGAGACTGAGCTTCATTTAAAGGGGACAGTAAATCCTTCCATATCATGTAGCCGCCTCTGGCATAGGTGACATGTTCTGGGGGCTGAAACTGCAGTGACCTTTATTCCACCCTGGGCCCCCTGAACCACCCACATCCTGTCCCATGGAGGCTGCCAGCAGCCTCGGGCTCATTTTCTCTCCCTTCACATCAGCAGGAATCACACCATTAGCTTCTCCCAGCTCCCGGTGCAGCCCCTGCTGGCCCTCAGCTTAGTGTGCTCTGAACAATCCAGTCCTGCTGCTTGTCTGGGTTGCAGATAATTAAGTAGCTCCTGGCTCTGAGTGGGGGTGGAGGTGGTTATCTTCCTCTTACACCCGCTTGCTGGTTTGTCATAAAAGGGCTGGTGAGCCCTGCCTCTCAGCTTGAGCTGGGCAGCAGTGGCTTCTAATCAGCCAAGTCTGAATGAGTAGGCCGAAGAGGGTGGGCCGCCAGAGAACAGATTTCAGAAGCCCAACCCTTGAGTACTAGCATTTCCAGAGTTGGGGCTTGGACCCTGCAACCTCATTTTATTACGTACCAACTGTGGGGAGGACGTCAGGCCCTGGGACCCAGCAGCGGTTCTGGGGTGATGGACAGGACACACATTATACACAGCAGCTTCGAGAGGCCTACTGCTCTGGGCAATGAGCTAAGCATTTTACATGCATTAACCTTTGACTCCTGACTATATCCACATGGGCAGTTCATGCCTCCTCCCCCCATTTTGCGGATGAGGAAACTGAAGCACAGAGAGGTCAAAGAACTTACCCAGGATTGCACAGGTGCAATGATAAATAGCCAGCAATGATAGAACCCAGATATTCTGGGCCCGGAGTCCGTGACCTGACCACCATGCTAGGTGGCCTCTCAACTGCTTTTGAAACCCAGTTCTACTTATAACAGTGTGGCCTGGAGCAAATCTTTTGCCCTGTTCTAACCTGTTTCCCTATCTGTACAATGGTGCATTGAGGCTTCCCTGGTAGCTGTGTAGAAAAGGCTGAATAGAGAGGCTGCGTCTGAAGTGGGGCCTCTTCCTAGGTTGAGCAGCAAATCAAAAGTTTCTTCCTTCCTTTAACTGCTAACTCTGTGCTTAGCACAGGGCATCGGGGCTGCTTAGCCAGTCTCCAAAGAACACCCAGAAGATACTCCAGCCATCAAGTAGGGAAGCGTCTCTCAACCATCAAGTCCAATGCCACCCTGGGCATCAACTTGATGATTATTGCTGTTATTTTAAAATTTCCTGTACCCGCATTTTTCTTTTTCTTTTAATGAGCTGGTAATTCTGAAACCTGTTAGCAAAAACTTAAAGCCAAGGGCAAAATGAAGCATGTGTGTTTATGTAACCTGACACATCTCAGCCACGTTCAAGAATTCTGCGTCACTCCTGGTGCACTTTGGGGTTTAAAATAGCATCTTCCAAGAACAGGCCACTGTTGCCACAGCCACTGTACGTATCAGGTGGGAAGAGGTGTCTTTCACTGCAGAAGATCTGAAAAGCAATTTGTCTTGGACAAAATATCAAGAATTTGAGGAGCTGGGGAAGGAAGAAAACCGCGAAGGAAGTGGGAAGAGACTAGAGCGAGGTGGGAGAATGGCCCAGTTTAGATCTCTCTGGAAGGAACCCTCCTGAATTTCTAAATATACTGGGACATAGGGGTAAGGGTGGGGATCTGGGAGGTGGAGAAAAAATAATACCCTCGACACATGTCTACTGCACACGTTGCCTTCTGCAGTCAGAACAAGCTTCAGGGAAGGAAATTCTCTCGGGGGTAACAACAGTCTTATCATGAATGCGTGGCTGACCCTGAACAACAAGGATTTGAGTGGCGGGGGCCCACCCACTTGAGGAGTTTTCTCCTAAATACATAGTGTAAGCAAACTATGGGGAAACACAGTCCAGTATGATAAATGCGTTTTCTTTTCCTAATGATTTTCTTAATAATATTGTCTTGTCTCTAACATACTTTAGTGTAAGAATGTAAGT